GTCCAATCTTTTCCAGATCAATGCTTTTATGTTACTCTAAACATTAAAATTTAATAAAATACAATATTTTTTAATGAATTTTCTAAATGGCATCAAGTGTTCAAAATTTACATTAGGTGTTTATAATTGCTCAAATTATTTTAAATATATCTCAATATACCTCTGAGATATTTTGAGGAATTAAAGTCTATTTGAGGAAAATTTTGAATGATTGATGGCATTTAGCGTTCATTTGCGCATTTTTTAGAAAATTCATTCAGAAAATTGTTCAAACGGTTATTCAAAATATAAGACTAAAAACGAGAATTTCAGGCAAATTTGACAAACCTAAATCCATCGCTAAAAATCTGCTTTTTATCAGATTTATCTAGATGAACGCGTCATTAGGGTGGTACAAATGGATATTTTTGGTCGCTAGTCGATTCTGGTTGAATTTATGTATGGGCCCAAATAAGGGGCATTTAGGCCGACATTACATCCATTTCGCCTATATCTCAGTTGTTTGAAGATGTACAGCTTTTATGTTTAAAGCAACTTTTCATAAAATTCTACGTTCTACAACTTTGCCCAGACAGAAAACTTCTATCTGGTGAAATAAAAAAAAAAGTTTGTCCTATTTTTATCCGACAAATTGTATTCCGAATTAATCTAAGAAACTTCACTAAAGACGTCAACTTAATTGGATGCAATACAAGAGCGTTATTAATTTGTTTCACATATCGTGGTAGGGGTAAACAATAGTTGCAATTTCCAAACCTACGACTGGATGCCTTCCTTCAAATAACAATTGAAGTGCGGTAAAAATCGGTAGAACTGTTTCAAACACACATTATTATTATTATTTAGCTTTATTTAGGAGGCTTTCAGCCTTAGGCTGGTTCGCCTCCAACTCAAACACACAGTTGGTACTTGAATGGGTCGGTTTTCATCTCTTTTTGCCAGTGGTAGCGGAGGGGGGGACACCCCTCACCATCCCTCTCCAAAGGGGGAGTTTGGTAAAGAGAGATGAAAAAACCGATTTGTACCTTCCTTAAAAGTTGTCCTAGTTCGCTATTCTAATATCTATATACAATCTTCACACTGCCGTACTCTAACGGAACTATCAACTCTATGCTTTCATCTACTCCATCTATCGTATAAAAAAAAATACCACTACAGTCTGTTATTTGAAATTAGCATCTTCAACTATGTAAATCGTTGACTTCACGTAGAAGTAATACTAAAAAACATATAGTCAAAATTTGTTTCTGCTAGATTTAATTCCTGGCCTACTGTGCAGTGTTCAAACGGTTCAAATTCGGTTCCTGATTAGCCTCTCAAAATTTGATCTGGCTGACTGGCCAGAAACCATTTGGAGCTAATATGCAAATTACAATGGGAATTTTTCAAAGCTACAACTTTACGGAAGATCGGTTTTCTGCCAAACGTCATACTAAATAGTTATTAATTGTTTAAGAGATTGAACATCTTATGCTATGATCAAGCAGCTGTATTGTGGGCAACACTGTATTTTGCAGTGTAACATAGTAATCACAACAATGTTGCCTGCTTGACAGTTGATTGAGCATATGCATAAGACATACGTGACTTGAACTATTAGTAATTTTTGATCCTTACATTTTATTGAAAAGTAGTTTTCAACAAAGTTGTAGCTGATAAAATTTTATACAAACATAGCCATAATTGTTTAATGCATAATGAAATGGTGATTGAAATTTTGAGATAGATATGAACTAAAAATTTGGTTTTCCCATAGTAGTTTCCATATAAGTTTCTTGGTTTTCGTCTGCTCACTAGTATTTGCCATACCGATATCGAAATGAAGCTGCGAGATAGTTTTTGAGTCGGGTGTCCTAAAATCTTCCTTGGACGTAGGTAGCCTGATCCTGCCAGTAAACACGATGACCTCTGTTAACCTTCAGTTTCGGAGTGGTTAAATGGAGCAAAATTTACCAGAAGACCAACTCGGGGAGTCAGGATGTTTTATGCTCAATCGGTTCTGGAGAAATTTATCTTAGCCTGATTAATTGACAAGGTCATGTGGTATTCGGTCAATGTGAGAATTGGTATGTACCGCTTCAATGCTGTCACGCATTTGGCCACAAACGTTTGGTGTCTGGGTACATTATCAAAGAGCTTTGGGAGTGATGTGCCTGGCAGCAGTACGAGCGAACGTTCAATGAAAATTAACTCTTAAGCAACTCTCTGAAAGGAACCGTTTTGTCGTGATGGTTGAGTAAAACTGAGTGTTCAACATATATGAGACTGGCGAGCTGCATGTTTTTTGCAAAGAGGGTAACGCGCTTGGCATAGATGGCCCACACTGACTCACGAAGAGCTACTGAATCCGATCAATAGCGGTGCGGCTTCTTCCTCCTGGACGCTCATGTGGGCTGCAGCTCGCTGCTTGCGGGCAGCCTTTCGTTGAGTACTGGAGAACAATGTTTCGTTGAGTACTGGAGAACCACGCGCCAAAAGCTGCTGATGACGACCGACTGGACACTACCTCACACCGAGATTGAATAACCACTGTTTGGCCAGACCGGATGGAATTCGATTATGAAATCGATGTTAGGGAAACCGGTTTTTGCAGGCAATCGGTGATAATTTGGATCACCATTGCAACAATTGGAAATTTGTATAATTTTTAATAGTATCCTATTGAAAATTGATAAAGTGGTCATTTTAACAGATTCGTAGAAAAATGTCCTATCGATTGGCTTATTTAGAATTAAAATCCAACCGCTATTGACAGAGTTATAAGTGCTCGAAATCTGACCACTTTTCGTAACGCGGTCGATTTTGTTTATTTTTATTGCACCCCCAATATGTGGCCGAAGGCCGATATCCTACGTCGAAAATAAAGCAATTTGGTTGTGCAGGCAAAAATGTGCACCTTATTTTTTTTAAATTTACTTAGAGCAAATCAGTTACATGAATTCATCTTATAAAAATGTAATGAATAAATACATTTTTACGAGCACTACCACTACCAAGTCTACAGGCAAAAGATGTACATCGTACGGGTTAGGCGTTTGACTTTAAAAACTGTCGCATTAATGGCCCTTCGCTCATTTTCAACTTCTATTCAATTTTCATACTGCCGTACTCTAACGGAACTATCCACCTAACCTCTTCTAATGATCATTCTCTAGCTAATAAATTATCACAATAAAGCTTCATGTTAGCATTTCCAACCAACTCTCAACATATTTTTGTTTTCCAATTAATTTGGAAACAGTAGGCTATGAAATGTTGTCGTCTATAAAATAGATAGTTTGATAAGATGAACAATTATGTCAAAGACGTCTCCAGAATATCAGAGTGAATATTTAGATTTTGGCACCATCTATACGGATCAGTTTTGAACTATTTGTGTATACCAAAATTTGTTCCTATTTATAATAAGTAACTTTGCCCAAGACACCATGTCCCGGAAATGCTCCGTTTCAGAGTAATTAATTTTGCGCCGCTAAATTGGATTCTTGGACCAATGTGAGTATGTTAAAATGAGGCTCGTATAAAGTAGAAAGGGCCTCGTATTTGGCTTATTGGTTACTTGGGATGATATACACCAACATTTGGAGCTACAATGGAGTCTTTTGGAGGAATTTGTGCCAAACTACCGGTGCCGCCCCGATACTGTCCTGAAAAATAACCGTTTCAAGCTGTATTGGAACTGCTCCCAGACGTTTACTCAGATGATTTACGACAAAGGCGCCAAGGAAGTCGTCATCATTGACATCGTCGTTCCACTGAAAGGACCTGGAAGAAACCCATGGTCACAACATTTCCAAATACCCTCCATTGGCTGTCTTGGCAACCCTCCTAGGAGCAGCGGATGACAAACAAGTTGGTCGAGACATTTAAATCTAGAAACGCTGGACGTAGCAAAATACCGTGGAATTTACATATTAAATAATGAAAGGAAATTTTTGTGGTAAAGAAAAGAAATAGGAGGTGACCGATTTCACATGAGAACGTTTCTCTAACTTATTCCTGAATAGGAATCAATGTCATTGCACATGGTGACAAATGGTGCTGTTCAGCTCCACACTGACAGTACCGTAATGCACCGAATATCAGGCTTTTAATCCGGACATTTATTTTTTAATTGAATATTACATCGACTTGACAACATAATAATTATGAAAGATGAACATAGTTGACACTACAGGATCATCATAAAATTTACGTCTCATCAAATAATCAACTTTTAAATGTGTTCGGAATTAAAGACTAAGTATCCGGATTTCGGTGCATTACGGTATAAATCCTTCGCATATCATTCTGCTTCAATCAGTTATACAAAATGCCCCAAAGATGCTCTAATTATTTCCTTTTCGTTCATCGCAAACCGTTGTCCGATCTGTTTTTCGCATGTTTTTTTTTATGCCACACGTTATACTTATCCATATAGGTGTCATTCCATGAATTTTTCTGTTTATTATGTACATACTGATGTGTTTTATGTGTGTTTTATAGCACTCCTTAAGAAATTAAAAGAATGGATCTTATTCTTCAAAAAGTCCAATGAGAGAATCCTCCGACACACACAAACACACACCCGCCCGAACTGCGCGCAGTATCTCTCAATAAAATCCAAACACCAGCTTGCAACAGTTTGCCCAGCTTGTACCTTTCACCTATTGCTGATATCGCAGCAGCTTCCTCCGGAAGATAATCTATCTTGTTCAGACAGAGGCTGATACGAGAACAGCTTCTGATTTGCAGCCACCACACACGGATCCACTCTGTTGCTCATCTTCGCCAACAACAGGATCCGGCTGCTATCAACCGAGAGAAAGAGCAGGAGCAACCCCAACATCATCGCGTGAGAGGACCACGCGCGCGGGAGAAACAACCCGTGAGAAAAACCCAACCCCACCAAGAAGAGCAAACTGCCTGTACCTACTGTGGGGAGCTGCTGAAAAACTTTTTGATGTATTCCCTCTTCATCTGCTCTGCTGCTGGTTCCTCCGGTGCGCGTTGCGTTGCGTTGGTCGGGGATAGACCACTCTAGACTCATTAGATTCGACGAGGCCCCTTGGGTCGCTGGTTAGTTTAGCTTAGAACGTCGTCGAGTGCAGTCCGCGCTCGCCGGGAGTCCCAGCGCTAGGCAGAGCCAGAGCTTCATCCGGCTGGTGGTGGACTTTTGTGAGGAAGCTAGCTATCTTCCTTCCTCAGTATTAACCTGCCGCAGTTTCCGGCGGGTAGGTCAAAGCGTTTTGGTCGTCGGTCGGTCGGTCGGTTTGATCGTTGCGGGCCTGCGTCCCGCTCGAGAGTTCCGGTTCCGTTTACGGTGTGTGTTTTATGTAATCTTGTGTGTGGGTGGGACGGACGGACGGTACCCGGTGGCAGGTGCGAAAGTGTGGTGTTTTAATTGAAGAATTTGCAAAAGACACCAGGTGCCTCCAAGGATGTAGAGCTGCAGAACCTGGCCATCGCTTGAAAAGTGGACCTTATTGTTTTTTCAATTTAATGTTATTCAATGATATGTATTCGTGTGTGGAGGCTGTCCTGATCGGAGAAATTCGCTGCTGCACAATACCCACATGGATGACCCTGGTGATGATGGTTGGGTGTGGGACGATAGGACTTTCGAAGGTTTATTTGGCTTCTGTAACATTGAAAAAAGTGTAAACGGATCGTAAATGGTTTCACTTACCCGAAGTTGAGTGAATCGGTCCCAGCGTTAAAATGTGAAATCGAACAAGGGTTTAAGCTGAGAACCGCTAAAGCCGTTTGTGTCATCACTTTATCAGATTGTGGTGATTTATCTGGAGTTGTAAAACATCACAACAAATGAACCTCTGCATGCTCAAATTCCAACGAAAACGTAATTTTATTAATTTTGCTACGAAGCGTAACGGATTCTGCAATGGATCTATTCGACCATGTGCTTCAATGATAATCGATTAATATTAATTTTCTGGAATCTCTCGCCAGGTCACTCTAATGTTTGTCACAGTCATTGATTCGAATTATTTCCTACGAAGATGATCTGACTTGTTGAACATTGAATAAAAACTAGATACACCATTCGACCTTCGGGTCTGTTGAAGGTCCATCGCCTTATTTTGAAAATTATAATTGAAATTTGAATAGTGTAGTTATTTTGATTTTTGTATAGGAAAAAAGTTGTGAGCCTCTTGTTTATTATGATAAGTTTGATACATCAAAAAAAGTTCAACAAATTAACTATTGGAAGGAAATGTAATAAATTTGATACATCAAAAAAGTTCTATTTTTTGGTTAACAAACTTGGTTCAGGACCTTACGGTATCACAATAAACAAGGGGGTCCAACTTTTTTCGAATAAAAAAATCAGGATATGTGGCATCGCTGTGCACAAGTCTATTATGAAAGATAGCATTAAATTTCATTCTTGTTACACAAAAAGCAACGATTTATCTCAACAGCAAACATTTTTGTGATGTAATCAATTTATCATGTTAATTTTTGTTTTCTTTAGGGGCTGCTCACAAGCCACTTGGACATATATTTTGAGATATTTTAGATCAACTATGAACTTTGGATACTAGCTAACCCACCTAAAATTGTCCACGATATATATGAATAACCCTTAGCACAAACTCACCCTTACAAATTATTCACTTTCAGATTTTTCAGAATTATATTTGTATTGAAAAAAATATAAACGAACCTTAAATATTCACACGTTGCTTTTAAAATGATCATAATTGCTAATGAACTTGCTCGCTCAGGAGGAATACACGATTATACACTATCAATAGACTAGTGACAAGTAACAATTAAAAATTTAAAAAGCTGCAATCTAATCCTGCTGGATGTGGGCGTCTATAGTGGAATACCTGTATAAAGAAAGCGAGAAGGATTATCAATTTCCATTTAATTCCAGTACCTTAATTGCTTATCCTTGACAGATACGCGTATTTCGTCTACAATGTGCAGACTTCTTCAGTGTCTTGTACTAATATTCAAGATTTGATACAAGAAGTTTGTACATTGTAGGTGAAATACGTATATCTGTCAAGGATAAGCAATTAAGATCGTGGAATTAAATGGAAATTGCTAATTCTTCTCTCTTCCGCCTTACGTTGGGCAGACTAAATTAAAATTGTTTGATTATTTAAGGCTGAGAAAGCCGTTGCTATCAGCATTCATACACTCCCAGTCGATACCACTATCTGTAGTTCTAGACCTTTTGTCTTCGCCGATGTTTTTGTGCTTAGAAGGTCCCTTCTTCAGGTAATTGTAAACATTAAGGGTGGTCCTTAAATTATTTGATATTCAAAATAAAAAAAAACTTTCTATTTTTTTGGAGATAAACAATAATAATAACAATAATTTTTTGGAGATGAAGTAGCCCGTGGCTAAAAATCTCTTAATAAGCCGCTCTCTTCTTAAAAAAATGTTCATAAGAAGAAGTTTACCGACCGGGAATTTTGTTGTTGTTCGGCATGTTTTTATGTTCTAAAAATGTTGGGAAACATAATCAAAAATCCAAGAAAATTAGTTATTATTATTATTATTTATTAGTGACACTTTATCACTTCTGTGACATTCGTGTCTCCAAGAAAAACAGTTGCTTCCTTAGATTCCTTAAAAAGTTTACATTTAAAAATATCTCATCATGAAAAAATCGAACTTTAGCAAAACCGAATGGTCAATATTGTATAATTTTTTTGAGATCAACTTTATGACATAATAACTTTAAAAAAAAGCGTTTTTGCAAGTGAGTTTTCTTTAAAAAATTATAAAAATGTTACTTTTTGGATTTTTGGCGTTTTTTTCCAATTTTTTTTTTGCAGATCCAAGCCGTAATTATTTTTTTCTGAGCGGTGAATTTCCCCTTAAACAAAGTTTTAGCCGAGTTAATTTTAAGCAACTTGAAAACTCATTTTTACTATCTCTCAACGTTTATATTTTATAGTTATTTTTAGAATTGAAATAGGGTGTACCTGAACAATTTTGGTTTTTTGCTCTAAATATTTGATTTCAAATTGTGAGGAATATAGAGTTTATCAACACTCCGAACACGATGCCTCCGGTTAAATGTGTAACGGCAAATTGACAATGTTTGAAAAATCTCAGCAATTTATCAATATATTTTAAACCTTTTGATACCGAATAACTCTACTTTGAAATTCGATAATAAATGGCTGAGCTATGGTTTTTCAAACATTGCACGTTTGCCGTTACAAATTTTACCGGAGGAATCGTGTTCGGATTGTTAAAAAAATGTTTCAAATTTCAAATAAATCGATATCTCTTAAGGGTCACGTGATAGTAACAATTGTCTTCATAAAATATGCATTTTGAAATGGTAATTACTCAGCATGGGGCAAATATACTCAAATTTTCAAACTATAATTTGCAAGGGCACAACTTGGAGTATATTATACGAATAAAATTAGGGAAATTCTACTTTTTTATCTCCAAAAAAATCAGTTTGATTTAATCTTCTATATACTTTTGAAGCTTTTTAAAACGCAGTTTTGTTTAAATAAAAAAAAATGTACCTTAAAATAAAATTATATATTATTATAAACAAAATTAATAAAGTCAAATTGATTTCATTGAAGTTAAAAGAAATACATTTTTTCGGATAACGTTCTTCAAGATGTGCCCTCTTAAATCTTGGATTGTAAGCTTATGTGTATTTGCTCTATGGTGAGTAATTTCCTTTTAAAAAGGGCATATTCAAAAAATGAAAACATCCTCCTAAAGGTTGCTCCAGACGACCCTCACGAGCAGGCATGGAAAATCATTAGCATTCATTTCGTGCATTCATTTACATTCATTTGCCCCTAACTTTTTTCATCAACAGAATTCCGCAAAAAAGATGTATGGAGCTTTTGTAGATTTTGTTATTAACTACAACTTTTGTTAATAACTCAAATCCGTATCTCTTATGCATGACGAACCAGAGCAAACAGATTCCACTACTGTTTTCAGGGAATTTATTTTACATTCACTGAAAAACAGTAACGAGTTCTGCCCGCTCTAATTCGTGATGCATAAGAGATACAGATTTAAGTTACAGTCAAAAGTTGTAGCTAAGAATAAAATCTACTAAAGCTTTATACATTATTTTGTGGATTGTTGTTGATGAAAAAAGTTAGAGGTAAATGAATGTAAATGAATGCATGAAATGAATGTAAATGATTGTCCATGCCTGCTCACGAGAAATTTGGTGCAACATATTTTGCGCTTAAAAACAAAATTTTCAGTTACACCCTAATTCAATTTTGATAAGTTACTCTAAAAAGAGAACGTTAAGAGAAAACAATTGTGCGACTTAGATGCTTAAAATTGTCTGAGCTACAACTTTTATTATGAGCATATGTCTGTATTTACAGAAATAAGAAAGTTATTTTTTGAACATCAATTAATTTAAGGACCACCCTAATGTTTACAACCACTGGGATATTTTAAGCACAAAAACTTCACCGGAGACACCAATCGTCTAAATTTTACAACAATCGTTCGCGGACTACTTCCCAGCTAAATTCCCATACTTAACCACTGTAATGGTGGACAGTTTAATAAAAAAAATAATAATACTGTTTTTTTAGTAAATGGACAGTTTAAGAACTTATGATTTATTATTTAACATAAAGTGTTGCCTTTTGCATGCAATGATTTTGTTATTGAAACCAAATAAATTTTTAAACATGATACGTTTTTTCCTTGATTTGTTTTCCGTCGATCTTGTTTTCCGTTCTGAGTAGGGTAGAGTGCTACTTCGTCGTAATCGTCTATTTCCGTTCTATCGATCAGAAAATATCAATTGTATAAATGATTTCACCGTGCACAAATCATTAATTGGTTTGTTTCGATACGTTAGTTCATTAGCTACAACATAAATCCTGTTAAAGCGCATTGTATGAAAATTTACGGTCATTGTTATCAAATCAAAAGAAGCGCTCCTAGCGAATCCCCTTTTTCTACGTTTATCCGTAGGACGAAGAAAATCTAATGGCGTTTTTTAAGAATCAAGAAGCCGTATTAGATTTTAAACAATATCTCAATAATTTGTGACTCTTTATCAAATCCAACGGTACGTATGGAAAGGTGAATAAATTTAAAAGTCACCTATGACAGAAATATTCCATTTTTTTGTATGAAATCGTTCAGAAAAGAGCGGTAAAGCGTGAGTTGTGCTTAGTAGGACGGAAATTAGATCAAAAACCCTACCAGGAGCCGGAATTTTCTGAGGCATAAAATCTCTGACCACGCCTTCATGTAAACTTGTTGGTCGCCGGTCCATGAGTTGATGGGTCGATAGGTAGGGTCAAGGTGTGGGAGCTGCCTCCCTAGCGTCGGTGCATTGGTACTCAGTACGAAAAACAAGATCGACGGAAAACAAATAA